CTAAACTTCCGTGATAGCAACATGATCCAAAACAAGAATTGCAAGTCTTGGCTATTCAATTGACTAGACTGTTATGTTTCAGACGTGATCACTAGACAACGTTGTTGCTCCCTGAACGGAGTATGCAGAGAACTGCAGCATTACCAACAACTCACTACAGAACCCTCAGCGGCCCAAGCTACCTATATGACCCAAATGAATGACCAAAGATACCAATGAAGCCAAATCTCTCTCATTCCGTGTACAACTGCCATATATTAAGGCCGCTGCAAATCCTACTTGGTCACACGATGCATCATGCTCCTGGTACACTTCATGATAACCAAACAACCATCAGACGACGCAGCTTGTCAATGAGTCTTAGTCCAGACAAGACGAGCACCGGCCGTACTCCCGGACCAGATTACGCTAGACCAAACAGCCACATTCCACATTACCCACATCTCACTCAACCCTAGACTCCCTCGAGCCCCCGACCGGCCCCCGAGCTACCTATCTAATCCAAAATAGTGACCAAAGATACCACTCAAGCTGAATTTCGCCTCGATGGCACAGTGGTAGCGCGCATCACTAGTAATGATGAGATCGGCGGTTCGATTCCGCCTCGAGGCATCATTTTCATAGGAAATGGTGTTCGAACCGAGCGATGGCTTCTTTTTTGGCTTTCTTTTTTGTGTTGCAGCAGGATATGTGCATTTGTCGATTACAGTACATGCTTTAGACTAATGTACGAGCCGAAATCTTAAATCTGATCGCTGAGGATGCTGTTCAATTGGCGCTGACATGCATCGCCCGGCGAAAAAGGCTGCGGGCAACATTCCTCCTCAAGATATTCAAACCGCTATGCCCTAGAACTCGATTTTCAAGACAGGTACCATGATTTCTGCATTACCATCCATATCACACCTACTCCTGCAGTAACGAACGGCCACAATGCATGCTTGAGTGTCACTGTCCGGTAGATGAACGTCTCAGCCAAGTAGAACAATCCGACTCCGACAAAGGTCAGCATGGCCAATTGATAGACTTCCGGATTGGTAATGTGATACGCCGCATAACCACGGATGAGAGACGTGTATGTGTTCTTGACACCATACACGCGAGCCAGAAGCGGTTGGGGAGGCGGTCGGTTGGGACCGCTGAAGACTGTCAGTGCAGTTGGTGTCTTTCCGAAGTAACACACAACCGTGTGTATCTCAGCAGAGATGCAGGCCTGCGCTTTCAGTTAGATTTTGTTATTCTCTCGTAGAACAAATGATGTTTGGTTTACGTATAGTAGGAAGTAAGGCAGCAAGCCCACATGCGGTGGAAGTAGTGACGCCATCTTCTCGTTTGGTATACTCGAACATTTGTCCTTGAGATTGAAATTATTGCACTGAAAGATGCGCGACGGGTCTTTTCTAATGTATCGGCTCTGAGATTGCGGCACGGAGCACTAAAACCGCACTGATGCACGGTCAAAACCCGACTCCCGACACCCCGAAATAGCGCTGGAGAGCCCTAAAGGGCAGCTTCTGCGAGATAACATTTGGGCGAAGGATTATACGGCGTGGGGATCGACAGATGGCACCGTGTAGCGCCTGGTCGCTGTCACTGAAGATCAACGACCAGTCTCTTTTCATCCTGAATTGTGCATCTTCATCGTGACATCGCAGCATCATATTGACTGCCAGCGGCGGAAGTTTCATCTAATTGAGCTTTCGAGCAGAGAAAGCATAACAAAGATGGTCTAATTGAGTTACGGTCAAAACCCCAATCTGCGGTAGCTTATAACATGGTGTCCCGTAGACGGAGTTCCGCACGATACTGATTGTCAATTCGAGAGCAAAATGTGGATGCCACGCGTGCCCAATCAACCAGTGCCAGGGCAATTTAGTCTTGTATTCATTTCAATCATCCATGACAGCTTCAACCTGCGACCCCATTAGTCTGTTAATCGACATCATGACGACTTCGGTGGATTAGCAGGAATCAACAAATTCAATCGGACGCCGTAGGTTACCATTCGTCTGCATAGGCGCGGCACAGTCAGCCAACTAGCGCCAGGCCCTTGGATATCCTGTTCTTATCATCGCCAAGGTTATGCTGTGCTGTTGAGCGAATGCGTACAACTGAACTTTGCGAATATGAGAACATGGCCTTAAATGCTACGACTGCACCATGCTCAAGTTCTTCTCATCTCCTTGAAGTTCTTCAAGAGCTGTCAATTGTCTCAGTGTTCGGAACCCTATTTGCGCTATCGTTGCCAGTCTTTTGGTGGTTATCTCGCGGCGAGCCGCCCAGTCTGAACGATGCGATTCCTTTCGTATCGAACACTTATCAGTATCTCACTGATAACAGTGCGTTTCTAAAGCGAGCATCGTGAGAATCGTCTCTATTCATTGTGATGGCCTTCTGAGCTTACTAACATGGCATTCAAGTGCATCGTTGAAGTCCTCCAATGTCGTGAAGTTCTGGCTGGGACCGAATCGCGTTTACCTAATCTCTGGCAGCCAGAATGTGCAGACGCTATTTCGAAGTACCAATCAGGTCAGCAATAAGAAGTTCATCCTAATGGTGAGCGAGAACATCTGGGCCATGAAAAAGTCGGATCTTGCGTTGCTCATCAATGACCGGTCTGGAACGGGGAAGAAGGCGGCGCCGGGCACGGAAGGTACACCGTCCGAGCAGAGGATATGGGCCACTGTTCATCACAACCTTGACCAGTATCTTGCGCGACCCGAGGCTACTCTCAGCCTCGGAGATTTGTATCATAAATTCTTCAGTGCCAAATTGGAACAGCAGCCTTCGAATGAGTGGGTCGAGGTGCGCCTGTTCGACTTCCTGCGAGCATCGATGGCAGAGAGTGCGACCAAGGCCTTGGGCGGAGAGTTACTCTTCGAAGTCAATCCTGACATGGTAGATGGTCTGTGGGCTCTAGACGAGGTTGCTTTTCAGCTCTTATATGCTCTGCCTGCATGGTTGAATCCCAAGCCGCTTCAGGCACGCGCACGCATGCAGGCCATGATGACTGCATATCTGGAGGAGGCTTTCAAACGATTCGACTGGAACAGCCCAGATGCTGACTCAGACTGGGAGCCCATATTTGGTTCAAGACTCATGAGAGTCAGTGCCAAATACTTTAGGGATCAGGGCTTTACACTTGAAGGGCGAGGTGGCTTATTCTTTAGTAGCATATTTGGGTAAGTTGTCTTAACATTTGGAAACCTTCGTCGCTGAAATCTCGCTAGCATTAACTCAAACTCGATTCCAATTACAACATGGGCATTGATGGAAGTAGTGAAGGACGCGTCACTATTGCAAGCCGTTAAAGATGAAATTAGAGACGCGCTCCTGCCTGATACTGGAACGGAAGTGCATGCATTCGACAAGAAGAAACTTTTGTCTCTCCCGCTACTGCAGTCCATCTATACCGAGGCAATACGGCTTCACTTATCTATCAATATTACCCGAGAAGTTGTAGAGCCAATGAGCGTCGACGGATACAATCTGTCAAAGGGCTCAATCATTCAAGCACCTACGACTATCGCGCATTACGACGAGAATGTGTGGACAAGCCAGGATCATCCAGCATCCGAGTTCTGGGCAGAGCGTCATCTAAGATATTCTGACACTACTGACGAGGGTGGTAATGTAATTCGAATGAAAGAGTTCTCAGTGTCTGCACGACCGAGTGAATTCTTCCCTTACGGTAGGCTTTCTTTTTGAATGCATGCACTTATTACGCTAACTAACGTTGACATAGGAGGCGGAACTTCCATCTGTCCAGGAAGACACTTCGCGAAGCAAGAAATTATGTTGACACTGGCGATGATTGTCTCTCGCTTTGACATAGAATATCTAGGCTGGACAATGCTGGATGGCTCAGTATCTGACAGACCGGCTCGGGACAATGAGAGGTACTGTGGTGCTGCAGCAGTGCCTCCAGACAGAGATATGAAACTGCGATTGCGGAAAAAATGGTGATGTGTCCCAAACTCATATGGCTGTATCAGTCAAGGCAACTTCGGCTGCTTCAGCAATATGTACGCCGATCGGTCTATTAGACACTTTTAAAGCCACATTTTGGTACATTGTCTCACCATTTCCTTTGCTCGATGCTAAACCTACTGTGGTATCTTTAACCCCGCTCAAATAGAGTTTGAGACTCACCATGACGGCTGCGTAGTCTCAACTTAAAGAGGTTAGAAGCGTAGGAACTCTAAGCCTTGCCTCTACAACTCCTTACAGCCCTTACATAAACCACAATTCCATCACAACACATATCTAGATCGCTCGGAATGAAATATCCCAGCAGGAATAGGACTAAGCCTACAAGAGCAGGGCAGCGGAGAGGGGCTACTGTACTGTGACGAGGGTTGTGGGGCCGGGACACGCAGGATTCCCCAGATTTTCCCCAGATTTATCGATAAGACGTGGCGATAAAAAGAAGGCGCCTAGCCGGAATGGGCAATTAGCTCACACCACCAAGAAGCTCCTGATCATCGTGCCTGGATGAGGTCAAGTCACGCGATCTTGCTCGAGACACAGCCCATCAAGTGACCAGCCGCCTACCCCGCCCGGTCTGACGAATATGGAACTGGCGACCCGGCTGGACTGACCTGGAGCGTACCTTCCTTCTCATGTTATGCTTTATGGATTGGAAGTCACTCACTTCGTTTGTAAAGAGGCAGGAACAATGCATCAGCCGTTGCCCGAAACATCCATCCATCAAAACCCCCTCCCGTCCCCTCCTCCGTCTTCGCTACTTCCCCTCTCCTCTCTCTCTTCCCATTCCCATCAACATCACCATCATCCCAACAAACCAGCCTCGTTTGCATCCAAGCAACTATAAAGCCATCACAAGGCAAGTCTCCCCCCCCCCCCCCTTCTCTCCCCTTTCTCACCCATCAATATCAGCAAAGTCACTCGGCTTACACGCTCCCCCCTTTACAGCTATCCTCCCACCCCCTGATCTTGCATTCTCTGCCTGATCAGTTCACACACATCCAACCATCAACATGTCGGAACCACTCACCAAGGTCGACTCCGCCGTCCAAGGCCTCTCTTCCTCACCTCCGAAGGAGTCTCACCCCAAGCACCGAAGAGCGAGCTCAAGTGCCAATGGCGTCATGAACATCAATGACCTCGGTAAGCTCCGTTTCTTCATTAATACAGCCGGGTATGACCGCCGGAAACATCGGAACATCACTAACAAGCATCAATCGAACAGAGAAGGACGGCATTGAGCTTCAAATCGCAAAAGAAACCCAAAAAACGGGCTGGTATGGCTTTTCCCCCTCTCCTCCCTCCTTTCCGCCTAACAGCTGACTAACACGGCAACCCCGCAGGAAAATCAACACCTCTCCAACAACAATTGATGAGAAGGAGGTCCTGAAGAAGATGCTCACCACACCCCCGGTCAAGAAGATTGACCTACACTTCCCCCTAGGCCTAGAGGTAACGGCACGAAACCTCAAGGGTGTCACCATCAAGGATGCAATGGACGCCATCCACAAGCAGTACAAGAAGAGAGTGCGTAATGCCCCCCCTCCCCCTTTCCGATACCATTCCTCTTTTCCAATGCTGACATCTCTTGCTTCATGCAGGCCGATGATGAACTAGATACGCCCTACCTCGCGGGATTCGAGTGGGATAAGGAGGAGTCGTGGACTCGGCTAATTGTGCACTTGCAAAAAGAGAGCGGCGCCCCCATGTCCTCCAAGAAGAAGAAGAAGGGTGGTGACGAGTAATGAACCTCTTTGTCACTTGTACCGTCGTTTCTACTCAATAGTGCCTTGTTTCTTCATGCGGCAGCCTCGTCGTTTCGGAGTCTGGGATATTGTGATAGTTATCACGGACTGGACTGGTATTTGCTTTCACACAATACTCAGGGGCGGTCCAGGAAACGACCTCCTCTGATGCACGCTTATCATGATTAATTGGCAGGGGAAACCTATGTTTGCTGGGACTAGCTAGATGGTCTGGCTGGCTCGCCAATCTACCTTAGTCACAATTGATGCAATCCCCTCTGCACATGACAAAACCTGTGTACTCTTATGAGTCTCGTGTTTCTTGTGAACTGCCTCACGCAATAACATAGTGATTTCTTGATTGCCCCTTTGCGTCAATTGCGTTCATCGCAATGTGCCATCAGAGAATGGATGGCTGAAGGTGAAGGCCACCGGAGTTGCGTCCGGCCAAGCCGATAGCGCCGACAGAGGCTGATCACGCGCTGGATGACACTGTCGCTCAGGTGGAATGTTGCCAATTGACCACCCAAGCCCCGCTAAAACGGGCCTTGATCTACCATGGAATTCACGTACTGCGGCGGGATGCGTGTGCAAGAACGTCATCATACAGATGATCAAGACGACTCACGATCTGGCGGCATTCCCCTTGGCCTCCACACTGCAGGCTGTATCTAAGGTTGTTATGAGCTACACATTCGAGAAACTCGCTGAGCAGCAATGCCTAGTAGGTGCCTGCGATTGAGATCCGACATAGGGCGGAAGGGAGTCAGGCAGAGAAGCTACCTAGGTACCGTGCATTTTAACTGCCTTCATTTAGGCGGGGTGATAGAACTGAGGGCCGTCCCTGGCTCCAATTCAGGGGTCATCTCCCAGCCGGACAGCTGACGCAGGTCCCGACCTGGGTTGCACACCACCTCAACGTTGAGTCGAGATCTGGGCCGAATGCGGCTCATGACTTTAAAATAGCATGCCTAGCTGGAAAATATTCTCACATTTACTGATATATCCTATTTTCGTTCGTATCGACAAGCGATCGAAATGCGCACTTTTTTGTGCTGGTTTCTGACGTTCGGAATGCCCCGGAATTGAGTGGTCTGACCACCTGAAAGAGCCTGCTATTCACGAGAATGGTAAGCTGACACCAACACCTGCTGTGCCCTTCTGGATGCACTCAGTCAGTCCAGTGGCCCGACAGGTGTTCAAGCGAGAGACGGACCGCTCCGTAGAATGTCGGTGAAGCCCCAAGGAGCATTTGATAAATGATTATTATGAGATCAAGGAGAGATCTGTTTCCCCGCGCTTTATTGATCTACCCCGGATTCGAAAGCTTGCCTCAACGGAGGGAGCTTACTCGGGCAAGGTTCTGGTCGGTCGTCGGCACAATTAGAAGTCTGCCACCCACGGCCATGGAGGGATGGTGTCAACCTATAGGTAGCTAGGTAGAAAGCAACTCACGGCTGTTCTTGCATCTTATGCCACGGTATATTATGGCGAGCCGTATATAGCCAAGTTCTGCGATTCTGATTGCGGATGAGGATCGCCTCCATTTCTTCGTCACAGAAGCCTGCACTCCTTAGTAGAGCTACCTATAGGGCAGAGACTAGTGGGCTTTGGCTAGCTACACTGATAGGAGGCAGGCTGACTGGCCTGGCATTTTGATATATTTGTACAAAGTGAAGAGATGCTCTAGTACTGTCTTCATCAAGACTATTCTGCTTGGTTGTGTTTTGTTTTGTTTTGATTTGTTTTGATGTGGCTGGCGGATTGATCGCCGACGTCATGAAGCCGTCACGACTGCCGCGCCGCGCCTGGGGCCTGGTTATATTCTTTAACAACACTCAGCTAGGTACACACAGTCACACCCACAGAATTTCACTACGGGAAATAAAAAATAAAAAAAGAACATGGTTCAAACACGAGCGCAGAAAAATGGGCATGTGACGGAGCCAAGCAAAACTTCGTCAAAACAGTCCCAGATGAAGTCAGGAGCAGTAGCTGGGAGAAAGCGAAAATCCGAGAAGGAGGCCAAACATGCAACGGCCGATCAAATGAGCAGCGCGCACACACCTAAGCGGCAACGCCAAGAGAAAGCAGTCGAGAATACGCCGCCAACAAGCTCCGAAGACAGGTCTAATGGATCGGACAAGAGCCTGAAGGCAAGAGTCGACAATGTGTTATCGAAATACGGGGAGCCACCTCTGAAGGGACTGGTCCATGAGAAGCTGCCGGCAAGCCAGTTCGTCCTGGCACACATCCTCAACGCATTGCTTTCCTCAACTCGGATCTCTCACACTCTCGCCGCCAAGACGTTATCATGTCTCGTTGACGAGAACTATCATGACATTCATGTTCTACACAAGACTTCTTGGCAGGAAAGGACGGAAGTCTTGACAGCTGGAGGCTTCACTCACTACAGAGAGAAGACAGCAACTTATCTGGGGGACCTGGCTGAGCTCATCAAGACCAAGTATGGTAAGTCTCTCCGGGCTTCCACGATTTGGACATACGCCTTAGGAAATGTACTGATGACTGGCCTACTCCGGGATAGATGATGATGCATCTGAGTTGCTTCCTTATCCGTCAAAGCAGCCTGAGGCTGAAATGAACAAGGAAGGCTCAGTCACACTCCTCAAAACCCGTTTGGAGGAGATCAAGGGTTTGGGCCCCATGGGCATCGATATATTTCTCGGTTCTATCCAGGGCTTCTTTGCTTACGTTGCGCCATTTCTTGACTCAAGGAGCCGCGAGACAGCTAACGCAATTGGTCTTGGTGACGAGGTGGATGGTCTCTACGCAGCTGTCGATGGCGATGCGTCTAGGATGGCAGAACTGCAAGTTGCTTTGACGACTATACGTCTAGAGAAACTCGAAAATGAGTTTGCATAATCTATACAGGAAAAGGTCATCTTTCACACATGTGTTTTAAGACTTCACTCGATCGAGCGAGGCCCCAGAGATCGAGTAAGATGAATGACAAAGCTTCTAACCCCAAGTTTCCCTATAGACTATTGATTAAACCACTCTCATAGAGAGCGCACACTATATAAAATACAAGCATATGCCTGCATAGAAAGCCGGGGTGATATAGTGTTCTAGAAACAGGTCTCCCCAGATAGGTCTTCGGTTTAGGGTTGGAGAGGGTTGGTTCGGCCCCGCACGGCACGGCGGCCTTTCCGCCTTCGACATCCGACAGTAGCCGTTCGGCATGGACAATGAAAGTCTCACCCTCCATCTATTCAACGTCATCCAGATGGCTTTGCTTATTCTTGAGGATAGTTTCTTCAGTTCTCCAATACCTACATCTATCATCCTTTATTCATTAAGACAGTCTAAGTGAACAGTGTTAGTGTTGCAGGTCTTGTGGAGATGCCAATAACGGATTTCGGCTTCAAGGAGAAGTACAGGTACCTAAATGGCTTCAATTCTTATCTAGAGTAAGTGAGCGGCTATACAGTCGAAACAAGAGTTCTCACTAAATTCCATCTGCAGATCAGAGGCGGCGCCTGGTGCTCTGCCTATCGGGCATAACTCACCACAGAAACCGGCCCATGGACTGTATGCTGAAAAGCTCTCGGGCACAGCTTTTACTGCACCGCGGCATGAGAACAAGCAGTCATGGCTTTATAGAATATTGCCATCGTGCTCGCATCCTCCGTTTGGATCTGCTGTCCACAAAGAGTCTCTAAACGGGCATTTTGAACAGCCCGCCAAGCTGCACTATATTCCCAATCAGCTGCGCTGGAATCCCTTTGATCATGAAGCGCACACAGATTTTGTAACTGGTCTGCACCTGGTGGCCGGAGCGGGCGATCCGACACTCAAGCAAGGCATTGGGATGTATGTGTTTGCAGCAGGCAAGTCGATGGACGAAACGTCGGCCTTCTACTCGGCGGACGGTGACCTTCTGATCGTCGCTCAGGACGGCGTCCTTGATATCCGCACTGAGTTGGGGTGGCTGCTAGTTAGGCCGATGGAGATCGCCGTAATTCCACGCGGTGTAAAGTACCAGGTCCACCTTCCTGATGGACCTGCTCGTGGTTACGCCCTGGAGCTGTATCAGGGCCACTTCAACCTGCCAGAGCTAGGTCCAATTGGTTCCAATGGTCTTGCCAATGCACGAGACTTCCAGGCACCTGTAGCGAGTTTTAGCGAGGACTACGGGACTGTCGCGTTCGACGGGCCAACGACGTATTCAGTGACCGTCAAATTCAACAACACACTTTATACAACCCAGCAGCCGCACACACCCTTTGACGTGGTAGCCTGGCATGGGAACTACTACCCATACAAGTACGACTTGGGGCGCTTCAACACGATTGGCAGCATCAGCTTCGACCACCCGGATCCGAGCATCTTCACCGTGTTGTCTGCACCCTCGGAGCACCCAGGCACTGCTGTTGCCGACTTTGTCATCTTTCCGCCGCGCTGGCTCGTCGGCGAGGACACCTTCCGGCCCCCCTGGTATCATCGCAACACCATGAGCGAGTTCATGGGCTTGATTCGCGGAGGCTATGATGCTAAGAAGGGCGGAGCGGGCGGGTTTGTTCCCGGAGGGGCGAGCCTCCACAATGTGATGAGTGGCCATGGTCCCGATGCGGACAGTTACGAGGGGGCCAGGAATGCGGAGCTAAAGCCCGCCAAAGTCGGCGCAGGCAGCTGTGCGTTCATGTTCGAGAGCTGCTTGATGGTAGGAGTCACAGACTGGGGTCTGAAGACATGCGCGAAGGTGCAGGAGGAGTATAACGAGGAAAGCTGGGGGTCCGTAAAAGTGCATTGGCGACGGCCAGAGGGAACACAGGATGACGGGCACCTGCTCAAATGAGAATGAAAAGAAAGTGAAGAGGCCAGGAACTTTTCTACGACTACTGAAGAGATCACGCTCGCCAGATGGTACTATTCGACACATTTTTGAGCAGTGAATTTCTATAGTCATGACGCGTAACCATCATTAATGATCATAAAAACATGAAACTGGGTATGAATGCATGCACAGGGTGCCTCCCTCACCAACTCGCCGCCGCCGAGGTAGGGAATCCCAAAGCAAGACGAAGCCGCCAAGTCCCACCATACCCTGTAAACCATTTTCAACACCGATCCAAAAAGGGAAATGCAATCCTAGAAGATGCCGTGTACTACTCGCCAGTATATAGCTGGCTCTAAAACGCCGAAGCATGCAATGGCCTAGCAGCCATCATCATCATCATCGCCGATAACATGATCTATTTGCTTCCTCGGCCTAGCGGCCTCCGTCATCTATATTTTCATGTCGTTGGGGCCAGTATATGTCGACTCGTGTGATCAATCTATTCCTTTGGAGGAATCGTATTGTCGGAATTAAGCCAGAGGTTTCCGCCCATATACAACGGTGAACGGGAAGTATGTATGGAAATTCGGGTTCATGAGCGCCTTTCGAACATCGACGAGAAACATCTCGATTTGCAATTGTGTCCAGCCGAGACCTTGTCCAAAGGGTTTACGTGTAAGTCCGGGCAATCCGTCGAGAATGGCCGTTCGCATGAACAGACCGATATATCGTAGGCGACGGTCTCGAGGCCATACGCCAATGGGGCATTTGTGCGTCCGCTCGTTCACGTCGTCGTATCCGGCCTCTGTAAGTTCGTTTGCGAGCCCGGCGATGGAGTTCAAGTCGGAGCCAAAGGCCCGCAAGCCGTCTTCTAGGAAACCCATGAAATCACGGAAAGCATATGGTGTCGAGTCGTTCGCACTGTCATCATCACACTTGGGAGAATACTGTAGTTCTTGAAATTCGACATAGCCGCCGGGTTTGAGATGTCTGTGTCAAATCAGTTGACTGCCAGGATTTGTGATTTCATTTTTGTTTTGTCATCGAGAGACTGCATCTAGGATGTTCTTTGGATAGGATGCAATATATTTAGCAACTCACCGAAATATACGTTGCAGAAGTGTTCTTCTGTCTTTTATCGAGTGGATGGTATGTCGAACATGGATGTAGTCAAATGTATTTTCCGGGTACACCCATTCGTCCTCAAAGTCATCGATGGCAAAGTAACAGTTCTCTGGCAGCCAATTTGGCTGTATAGGCGAAAGATCGCAACCACGAACGGTCGCCGTCGGATATTTATCGGATACTGTAGACGAGACATTATGTTAGCACAAGTTTCTCGGTTTCACGTATACCTTGCTAGCCATGTGTCTTTCTCGATGTTGGTCTGTGTATCGGTCACAGGAGGGCGGCAAGTTGCAGCGAGACAGGCCACTTGAGCCGACACGACCTCTGCCGTGTGACGTGCACGCCGTGCGAGAGACAAACATCACAAGACACATTGCAACCCGTCATATCCGACTGGCCCGGGCTGCGACAGCCAAGGTTGGCTGCAGGACAATTTGGCCGGTGGGCGGCACTAGAAGCTCCCGGCACAGAGGTTTGGAAAGCGCCACTTACGTTCGATGGCCCAAATCCCCGTTCCCGTTCCTGTTTGTGCGAGACACAAGTCAGCCTCCTGATCGAGTATTGACAATGAAGGGTTTTGATCTGACGCTATCTCCCAGACCGGCTACTCCTGCCTCTTTGCCACAATGCGAGATCCGACATGGAAGATCTCTAGAAGAGCATGCGGCAGGCAAGGTGTGGCGTTTTGCTATGGTCTGTAGCCGCAGCTGACTCGGGGTTCCAAAAACTGAGAAGTGACATACCAAGATCATAGACGGTCCCATCGTCACGCAGCCTGTCAGCAACAGGTGCGTAATGGTAGTCACCCCTCATTAGCATCACCGTCATGGCATGCTTCATATCGTCTCGATTCTGCTCGACGTCATCGTTAGGAAAGGCGTATTTGCCCTCCCGAAAGGCGTGGTATCGTAGGTGCCCCTCATAGACATGCGCGCGGATACTGCTCGACATGCTCTCCGGATAGCGGGTCATGTCCGGGTCCCAATCCTCATCGATGAAGGCACTATCCTCCGCCGTGATTCTCGTTCCAGCAAGTGACTGCTGTCTTGGGTCCGAGCCCGTGAGTGAGGCCGGTGGACTCGGCCCGGAGGCGGAGCTACCAGCGGGCTGGAAGCCGGCATACATTTCCTCTTCGTTGATGTCTGCGGCGACGGCAATTGCACTCGAAGCTGAACTGGCAGCGGAGGGACCGTCCCGGGGCGACCCGGAGGACCGCCGTGAGTCGCCCATCCTAGGTTGTTGATATGATGAGCCGGGGTATTGTGTCCCTTGGTTGACCAGCGAGTTGGCAGCTGAGTCCGGCGGCGTGTTCATGCTGGTATAAAATGCAGATCTGTTTATACCATGATATATATCACTGAGATCGCTCTGCCGGCAAGCTAGTGGATGCCGTAGGCGGCGTGCGACGTCAAGGGTTTATATGAGAGGCTTGAGAGTTTAAGAAGCGGGTCGAGGCGGCTTTCAACGTCCCACGTCCCTGCACTGGTCTTTGACGGTGGCGTATGGATGCCGTCAAGTCCAAAAGCCAAGGGTGGCAAGGGTGGTTTAGGCATGCGGCCACACCAGGTAAATTGGTCGCTCCCAGCTGTCTGGTACGGCGTGGTCGTTGGTGATGGAGATTGGCGGGGAAGGGCAAATGTTGGAGCGCCGCGGGAAAATATGATTTATGAGACAAGAAGATTTCGGGGATGTGGGAGTGAAGAGCCAGGGAAGCAAAGGGGGCGAACTGGGTTTATGAGACTAGAGGGACAAGGGAAATGGGCAGGGTATCCGCAGTTGACATGCAATAGCACATCGGCAGGCAATTCTTCTTGGAAATCAGACGGAGCTAGTAATGAATGGACGTGCTGGCACCAGCAGCAGTAGTAGCAAGCATACATAATTACAAGGTCAATAACATACGTCTTATACCTTTCCTTCCGGTAAATGCAACTTTAGTGACTGATCCAGCTAGTGTAGGTCCTCGCCGCATGGGAATAAGACAAATATGTCAGGAGTGCCCATCGCCCGTACTTCAAGACAAGACAACAGCAGCCCACATCCGGGAACAAGCAAGCAAGCTACGGCAAGGGTTAAGATGATGAGAAGGAAAGCCTTTAGTGCGAGCTCCACCTCGAGCTCCCATCAGTCCTATTTCGACCGAGGAGGGGTTGAGAGACCCGGGAGTTTGGATGGGGGACATGGAGGGCTTGCCCAGGGTGTTGAGCTTCCTACCAGTCAGAGACAGCCAATGCGTAGAGGAGGGGTTGTGGCATGCTGCACTTGGTATAGTTAGCACTCGAGCAGCAGGGCAGTCGGAAAACTAAGACGAACGAAGTGATGGGGCTCAGAAAGAGAGTGGGCAGCTAGAGAGGACCGGTGCTAATTACGATACCGTAAGGCATTCTCAGTCTTGTTCGCTAATGATAAGCCTATCTACGCGTTGCTTAATGGTGGGACCACGACAGTTCTTCCGGAAACAGAAGACCCAGCGGGTGCTGATGTGGGACGTGAGCGGAGATGAAGCCCCTCAAACCCGCATTATGCGCCGGATGCGACTGTTGGAGGTTGGCCACTCGCCCATGTGTTGCTTGACACGTAGAGCAACTCACCAACGTTATGACTCAATCAATAAGCCGTGTCTTGTGAATAACGCAAATAGCTCAACCTCAAAGTTCACACTACTGTGGGGAAAGGCAGTGCACCCAGACAACAGAAAATTTTCAGTGATGAATGAGGTGGTGGTCCCAAGGGGACGGCACCTTCGGCTTGACACCGTGCGGGGTTCATGCAAAATGAGCTACGGCTCTGGTATGGTTGGAATTGGCATGCAAGACGACTCCGGTCGTGGGACTGAGTTGGCTAGGCAAGTCATTGTAGAATCAATGACCAACAGAAAGAGGCGATGTAGGAGAATGGAGTATGAGCGGCACTCCTTGAATGGGCCAGCGACTTAGTAGACTAATTAAGATGATGTAGATTTGCATTTAGACCTGGTTTTTGGCTGGACTGGGAAGATTTTGTGGAAAAGAAACGTTCCTATTGATCCTCAGAGCTCCTGCACGGTAATCAGGGCCTCTCGGTCCTGGATACATAGCTCCGCCAGATGAACAGGACACGCATAACCACATATACAAGGGCCACTCATGTTGAACACAAAGCTAACGCCAGCTTCTGAGGTGGCTGCACGCCGTTCATATAAGGTCCCAGGCAGCTGGGATTCGTATCGACAAACGCGAGATTCGTTCGGCGAAATGTGAAGTAGCCCTGTTAAAAGTACGACTCAGGCATGTCACCGCTCTTTGGACATGACCGCCTCATCCTTTTCAACATGCTACATAGAATAGAGCTGTCGCTTAGAAGGTACTCGCAGAGACTCGAAAATAGTTTCCAAAGGACAGTGATGGCCGCCTAATGGGCAGTGATTGCCTTCGAACCTCAGGGCAGCATGGGGCAACGGCACTAAAGCCGAGCACCTTGTCAGCGTATGGCACTGGACTCGCGAACCCTAGAACAACCCATACGGAGAATTAACTGCGAAAGGAAGGCGACCAAGAGTGGGCGTCAAGTGGGCGTTCACTAGGCATTCCTGAAACAGGTATACCGAGGAATGGGCAGAAAGGTCGGCGTTGTGGGCTGCAGTTGTAGTTTACTCCAGATATTTAATGCGGCAGAGGCGCGGGCTGATCAGCTCTCCTTTCGGCTGCTCACTTGCAGCAAAAGTCACGCCAGCTGGCGGAGCCAAACGGTCAAAAATCAGACTCCTGGAATCAGTGACAAACGGCACTGGATGCAGAGCTAAAGGGAAGCTAGATATTGATGTAGCTAATCGTTGGACACAATGTGAATACTGACAAAACTAACGAAAAGTGACTGGGATCGCGGGGAGACCCTCCAAAAACTGTCTCGTTCTCTGTGACAGGTCGCCTCATCTTGCACATGATGAAGAACTGCTGAAGTCACGATGCAACGAATGTCTCTCATTTGAAGTAGCTGCTTACCCATTAAGCCGCCCTCGGGAGCAGGGCCCTTCAATCTCTCCGCGCCCAGGGTCGCTTCCAGAGGACATACTCACCGCATCTGCATGCCACACACCATCACTGCAAGGAAGGATCCGGTACAGTATTGAGCTGGACTGTAGCCCCTCGCCCAGAAACTAGACGCCCGAGCGCCCGCAGCTCGCTCGCTCAGCACCTATTAGAAATGCTAGACAGCGAAGATCGTTGATCACCACACAAACGAACTGTCGAACGGGATTACACTTCTCAAATGGCGAATTCGCATGCAACTCTCGTCAAATCGAGGAAAAGATTCGATTATCCAGAAGACAACCTTCTGCTCTATGTGTTCTAAGGCTACCATATCGTTGGAGATCTCTATTGACGCATGTGATGCCACCGCCCTAAGCCGTTTACAATATTGTCTGGCGAGCTACGTTGGAATAGAATAGGCTTCCAGAAGCGTCGGATAGTGGCAGACGGGCAACCGACGGCCATTGTCAACGTGCCGAGGAACAAATTGCGCCATGAAATTAGCGGTATGGGTCTGGACCAGACTGCTGGAAGCCATCCATCGCACTCTGCGTGTATAGTTTCCCCATCGAAAGTAATAGAGCTCAACTATTACCGGACCCTCTGCCGGGCAATAGGGATGATGGCAAATGATCGTCTCGATCATCCCTCTGCGAGTCATTGTTACAAGGGCAAGTCATTCTCGCCTCAAGACAAATGTATAGCCGGTCTTGCGGGCTCAGTACTCAGGGGGCGAACGCGGCGGGCCAACGTGTTGAATTAGGTCCCTCCGAGTCTTTCTAGGCGTGTGCCGTGGGGGCCCTTGTGACCCGAAGACTTGGTTGACAACCACTGCGGGTGAATCTCTAAGGAGTATCCTTTACCGTTTTAGACTCGATATTTCAAAGCGCAGGACCAGGCTTGACAAGGCATCCTTCTCAAGACTGGCTACCCCTCGTTTCGTATATCGTCAAATTGAGCACCTGACTGTCCCTAGTTGCGAAGAGGGAAGAAAGCAGGGCTGTCCGATTGAGCAGAGATGGCCTTCTCGCAACGGCGACTGGTGGCTCCTGTGTTAGTTCCTGATAGATAACATGTCACATTGGCAAAGCCGAATGCTTCGGACTTCAAACCCGACTCTCAATGACGATACTGTCTCACCAGAAAACAATGTAATGCACAGAGGCGGATTCTAACACACTGGCAATACCTGGCAGACGGCATATTCCGATCTCGGTGAAAGTTCCCAGGGTTCAAACGAACCCCGCCGTCAAGTTGCAGAGGGCATGCGAACCAAAGCAACTCTGCTATGATTGCTTCATTTAGTTACGTACGTGAGCATCCCAATTCGCTTGCCAGCAGAGCTAGTGCGTCACGAGGTCTGCGCTATTCACTCCTGGGCAGTAGCTGCCGTATGTAACCTTCCGTGGAATCTCTGGTGCAGTCTTTCTTCGCTGATCCTGAACGCCTCAGGGAACCAGCCGTCGAGCTCAGCGCCATCCCCGCCTTGCATCATCGCTACCATTGCTTTGGCGCACATCCAGCATAGCACCATCCCATGTCCCTGGAAGCTGCAGCTAACCCATAGTCCTTCTTGGCCCGGCACCTCTCCGACAAAGGGAAACCCGTCAGGACTATAGCCCATGATGCCAGTCCATTCGCGTCTTATTCGCCCATCGGCGTCGTCCTCGCCCCATGCTGGTCCAAATATTCGTGGCGTCGTCTCCCTCAGGTAGGCACTGATCGTCTCGTCGACGGTAGTGTCGTCCGTCGTCCCGTACTCGAACAAGCCTTCCTCTGAGGCCTTTGCGAGTCCGCCACCAATGACAATATCCCCAGCGAAACGGGATCCTGGTGGTCGGGGAATCATGTACTCATACCCCTTGTCATAGATGAAGCTGTATGTTGTCGGAAGGCCTTCAGCTGGCATCGCACTTCCTGGACGATGAGCCGTAATTTGACCGCGCAGGGGTACAATGACGCCCTGAAAACGCTTCCACAGATGAGCGGTGTAGCCGTTCGTCGCAAGAACTACGCGCTTTGCCGTGATGATACCTCGTGGTGTTTGCACATCCCAGCTCCCATCAGGTCGCTTGATGAGCTCGAGGGCAGGCGTGTTAGTCTGCAAGTTCAGACTACGCTCCAGTGCGAGCTTCAAGACACCAATGACTAGTTTATACGCCGACAGACTGCCTGCAAAGTAACTTACGGCGCCCTGAGCCTCATCGCCCTTGCAGAATAGCTTAGTCTTAACTTCCTCCTTATCATGAAATGTATATTCCGATGCCTGGTCTTCGGGCCCTAGGGCCTCTCGCATAGCTGCTACTGCATCCTGAGCCTGCTTCCAGTGGCCTTCATCGTAAATTATATCAACAGTAGTGCAAGGATTCGAGTCGCAAGCAATACTGTGCTCTTTGGCAAAGGCATGTACAGCTTTGATGTTCGCTAGTTCGAGGCGCGCTATCTTCACAGCGGTCGCTTTGCCCAGGGCTGCCGCATTATCGGAGAACGACCGGTAGGATGCTGCTTTTGTATGGCCACCTGTTAGGAGCCAATGTTGTTAGTGAGGCACAACACTGCCAGGGAGAGGGTATTAAGACACGGACCGTTCCGGCCAGTCGCCCCCGAGCAAGCCTGCCGCGCCTCGAGCATTACGATGTTCGGGGGCTTCTCGACATCCAGCAGATTCCATGCCACCGCGGCGCCGGTGATCCCGCTGCCAATTATGACCACATCAGCATTTGCGGGCAGGTTCTCGGTCGTTCGAAGATCGGCAATCTCGTCAGGCGGATCTTGCCAGTAACTCTGCGTTGGGTTGTCGCGTGGGAGCGTGACGGGTATCGCGGCGCGTTCATCCATTGTTGCAAGAGGTTTTCAAATCGCACAGGACAGCAACGCTACGCTCAACGCCGCAGATAGAGATCTGGATAATGAACGATTGAGAACCCGTGGCGTCCATGTTGCAGCTCTTTGTAAGGCCGCAGTGCAGGCACATGGCCCGAACAATGTAGCTTCGCGTAGGTGCAGAATAGGTAGGTAATTGGAGATTCTAGATAGCGGAGGTAGCCGCTAATGCACTGGTGGAGGTCGGCTGGAACTGCCCAAGAAGGTGAAGAGCTTATTTTTGCTCAGACAGACAACCTCTTGATACTGAATAACCTCACTCTGCCTCCTCTTTTACTAAGGAAGCACAAACTCAGAATAGAAAGATGAAAATTAAGCAACCGCAGATGAGGGCTTTCATATTGGGACATTCATGCAGTAAGGATTGGAGATCAGGACCAAATCATTCTCTTATCAATCTGTGTCTGGTCTTGGCTGATCCGTCTCAAATACCACAGCCTAAAGTAACTTCAAGATACCTGTGGGTATAGAGGTATATCCTCGACTCCTTTGACTCCGTAAAGATGTTTCGCTCTCCATCGATCTATACTTCTTGTCGTATAAAATTCCTTTTTCTTCTTAGAGTCTGTTGATAGGAACCCCCTACCGGCGTGGGAGACGTCAAATAGGGGATATTAGGTGCAAATGCTCTGGGGCTAGAAACGACTGTGTCCCTGCGGGACACGCCACCTGCGGTTTTATCGCGAGACGGTGTAAACGACCTTGTTGTCTTCCAGACCTGGCTTTTTAGGGGATCTATAGCCTGTAAGGCATCCCTGGTTCTTGCGGTAGGTTTGTTATGCCTTTCATACTCAGATGTGGCTTGCTGAACTAGTGCTCGTCGCGAGGCTGCTGCGAGCTGTGCAGCCTTTTGGGAAAATAATAGGCCATCCTCGGGTGACATTTGTTTCTGAAAGCTACTCCGCATCGCTATGTTGTCTGGCGAAATGGATGGAAGACTTTCAAGGTCGTTCTCTGCTAGTCGTTTTCCCCAGTGATTGGGTGGTAACGACGCAGCCGCTGCAAAGGACACGCCCGGCCTAGTGAAACTCGTTGCAGACTTCAGGGTCTGTTCAGACCCTTCTGGGATGGACGTAGAGTTGGAGTCCTGTCCTCCAGAGTCCAATCCATTGGTGCTGAACACAGTCGAATTGCTTATTGTGCTATCGGTACACGTGGAGCCTTGGCTTGCACATGAAGATGCTGCAGTCTCTGGTAAATTGTTATGCCATGGCGACAGATGATCAGAGGCTGAGCCATGTGTGCCAATGATGTCCCTAGTCCAGATATCATCCAGACCCTTGGCCTCTGCTGTACCTTCTTCTATGCTCTCAAATTCATCTCTGTTGCTTATTGCCTGGTGGAAGAAGCCGTGTTCGCGGTCGAACATAGCCTTTTTGCTTATCATACTGAACCGTTTGACCATAGTCGTCTTGATACCGGAAGAACCGAAAATCACGGCACCGTCATGTTCTAATGGTCCAGGCTGCCGCAGCTTGGGCTGAAGCAGCTGACGAGGATCAAATCGGTTGCGGGGTAGTATAAATTCCTGAACTCGATTGCAGCAGCATGTACCGGACCCAGGGTCCAGAGTTTGGCATGGTCCAAAAAGGAAACTCGGGCAGTGCCAGGCAACACCAGACGACGTCAACTGCTCTTGGTCTTCAGAAGATCCAATCTCGTCATAGAGAGCCGCCAGAGTTGAAGTTTGGACGCCTAAGTAATCTCTGCCTTTTGGCATGAGACTGTAAGACTCACATAATGACGTTCGGTCCACTGGCTGCAGAACGTCACCGAAATCTTGACCCAGAAGAATCACGCCATTGATGTCGGCGTCCGCAGCAAAAGACGGCCAGTTTCCACAGGTCTTCAGTAATTTGGCCTCTTTGATCTTCATGGATCGTTTATCTGCCACGAGATCCATGTATTCCCAGCCGATGACAGTGGTACTAGACTCCATAGGCAAGGTAATGTTATTAGTACTGCCATGTCCCTGAAATCCATGTATAACATCGTACAGCTGCAGAACCTTGTCTCTGAACAACATCGTCACAGGCTCGCTTTCTCTCGGTCGAATCTCTTGTTTGATAGCAATGTCGGCATTCTTCAACATAACTTGACGCACGGCGTGGCCGTCCAGCTTATCAGTAAGGTGACCAAGGGATACCGCTTTGCCATCTATAGTGAAGGGGCATTTGGTGTGTGCATGTAGAATGATATGTAAAATCACCCTTTCTGCATCCGTATGAAACGCGCACCGGTGTTTAGCGTCGTACAGAAAGACATGCGTGTCTTTTGCATCATCGAGGACGCCTTCGTAGTAGTCTGACCGGTCTCTCTCGTATATTCCGTCTTTTTTGCCAAGTGTAAATTTCACAGATGCTGAAACAATCTTATTAACTCCAAACGAGAACTCAGAGAGACTTAGACGCGTTGATGACGAAATGGCCGCTTTAGAGTGTCGTACAGCGGTGTAGTCAAACTCTTTGGTACCTACACATCGAATATGAGCGAGCAACTTTGGTTGGGGTATACTGCAGCTTACCGAGTAGGCTTTTCACTTTTGGACACCAGCCAAGAAAGGTCTTGGCCAACTGAAGAGCTTTCAGATCCTTATATTCAGTTCCCAGAACCCTTTGAGGGCAGGCCTTGTCAATATCGGTCCACGTGAGCTTTTTCGGAGTTGAATCCACCAGGTGCCATTGCACAGCGGCGCTCTTCTTGGCGACCGGAACAAGAGCGTGGTAACGTCCCTTTAGGACGTAGCCGCCACGATATGTCACCGCCTGTCGTATTCCCAAGAGGCTAGACAATATACCAAGATGTGATTCTAGCCCACGCTCCGCGTTTTGACGCTCTGGAATAGGAAATCCGGTTACCAAGACCGAGCAGCCCGCCAAACTGTTCCAACACCCCGTTTGTTCCGATGATGCTGGTGCCTCAAGCTCAACGCCAATCCGAAAGGTTGGTTCAAGATTCTCATGTTCTCTTGATTCTTGAAAATTTACATGAGAGAACACAAGTCCCGAATCGCTGGTTCTACACGCTGCAGCAAGCCAAGAGAGTTGTTGTGCAACGGAAATGATAAACTCCTCACAGCCAGTGGCTGTTACAGTTGTTTCGTCGACCCCTAAGACTACCGTGTCCTCGGTAGGACAAAGTTCCTCGGATGAGACTGTAAATGTTCAGTTCTATGCTTTTACCTTGATCTCAAATCGATACGCAAAACGCAGAGAACTTACCGTCGCGACTACGCATTCGTCTTGCCAACGGTTTAAGAACTGCGGTTGCGTATTTTGGCCATACTCGGGCAAAATAGTCTTCAATGATTGTCAGCTGTGCGTCAATAAGGTGTCCAACAAACACCAATGAGAGTCCAAGATCCTGATCAGTTCCAGCTGGGTACTGAGTATTGAGAAATTCTCGAATATCCCAGTCTATGTAGAAAGTGGCAGAAAAGGAGCCCCCTAAGCCATCAGCATTAATTTGCCGTCGTCGTAAAGCATCTAGCAGATGATGCTTTATCAAGTCCTTTTTATTGCAGTGATACTTTTCTATTGACCGTTGCACATTTGCTACTAATTGATCAAATGCCGTGTGATTTGCCAGATATGCTGAGATATTTCCATCATTGATGAAGTCGGGATATAGACCCGGCTGGTCGAGGCTGGATGTATCAACGCTATTAGAGACAGATATGGCATCCATAGATGCCCGTTCTGCCACGTTGATAATATCACCATCAACTCTGTTCAAGTGATGATCCCAAGCATCTGACACTGATGTATGGCCCCGGAAAATGTCTTGTAGTTGCATTTCGGATTGAACCCAGCTGTGACATTTCTCCGAAAACGTCATTTTGGCCCGAAAAGAATCTTTCAGCCTCACTGGCAATGTAAGGTAGATGACGAGTTACTTCAGGGGCTGGGACTTCGGAGGAAAGCATGCTTTCGAGCTCTCTTGCAATCTCTCTCCTCAAAATTCGAATACTCTTGCATCCTAGGTTTTTTGCTCTATCAGACGTTTGACTACGAACTGTATTCGAAAAGTCTTTCAGGTGCCCTTCAAGTTGCCTCAAAAAGCCGAAATTGGAGTACGCTGGGGTGACGTCGACAAATAGCAAGCCAGCTAGCCGCCCCGAAAGCATGCCACTGAACCGCCGCACTATGTTGACTTTTTGAGCAGAAGTGAGCTGCATGGAGTCGGCAGAGATAGTAGAGGCAGCACATATGGTGTCTTCGTAGTCATTGGTTGGGTGGTCTTCACCTTCGGATCCCAGTGGTGCCACTGGCTCCTCCTCATTGATCTGTGACAATGCCGTGACAACGTCCGGATGTTCAACGTTTCGTTTTGGATTTTGGCTAGTTGATTGCGTAGCTGAGGATGGCATGGTGATATCCGTTGATTTTGTCTTCAGTGAGCTTATGGTATGATAGGTATTATCGTACGAGGGATCTATAGAAGCTGAAGCTGCTTCCTGCGCAACTTCTCCATCCGAAGTCTCAGTTATGACAAAGTTGGGAATAGGAGTATCATTGGCCTGCAGTGACATAGAAGCTAAAGTCCCGCTAATGCCTTTCCCCAGGTCATGACCTGGATTGAGGTTGGAGATATGGGGGTTTTGAGACCGTTCTCTTGGCGGTAACACTTGAGGTCCGACTGCATGCATTGAGCCCTGTTCCTGGGGAGATTGTATCCCTGATACCTGTGTTGTAGGCGTGGTTTGTTGAGTATGTGGCCCTAAGAAGCTTTGATCCATCCCTGGTGGGGAGGCCCATGACGAGGGCTGCGGCGGCATGTTATTCGCCTGTGGGGGAACATTTGACGGAGGCATATTGAACCAGTCATATTGAAATGAACTCGCGCCCCATGGTGCAAGCGATGGCACACCCGTGTCTGCTACATAATTGAGCGCCTGTTGTTGAGCATAAGATTGAGAGTGCTCGTAGAGCTGATACCGCAATTGTTGCTCCTGA